ACGTCTCTACATATACAGACTGAGGGACAATCCCACAACAAAAACAGACTCTAAAGGAATTTAATCAAAAGTAACCTGCGTATTTTGGTGTAATTGAATTTCTACAGTTTCTGTCTTTTGTTACACAACAGGTTCACAGGATAAAGTGTACTTACACTGTTCCTCACGTTAAAAGCATCAAACACAAGAGGCCTTATATTGTGCAGGAGTCACACAAAAACTCTTTACTTTCCAGGACTGAAATTTATACAGTAAACAATTTAGATAAGACATTTTTATCATGCTTGAGCTGTTACCCTGATTATTAAAGGCTCCATATAGGGATAGTGTGGAGTGAATCAATTCAATAGTGTGGACTGCTTTTCTAACAGCAGCAGAGAGAAGAAGAGAAAACAGTCCAGCACGTCTCTCTCCTGCATGATAATATGATCTACCATGAAAACCTTCATTTGCAGCCTAAGGCAAAGAAGGACTGCATGTGTTTGTGTGCATTCTGGGTAAGTGGTCCGAACACACACACATACACACAGAGGATCTACTTGATTGAATTAATCAGGAATTTCTCAGGCTCTCCTCTCGTGTTCCCACCAGTGGAGTTAATTGCATTAGAGCAATGGAGTGAAGGAGAATTGGGAGTTAAGTCTGACATCCAGCCTCGGTTCCCTCTCCAGAAATGAGATGGGAGAGGTAGAAGAGGAGGAGGAGGGGAGGAGGAGGTGGTGTGGGTTGGAGCACAGCAGAGAGAAAGTAAGAGAAAAGTGACGCATGTGGGAGTGAATATGAGAAAGAAGGAAAGATTTGAAACCGTTTGCTTATTGTCTTTTTTACACAAACTGAAAGATTGAACACTTTCCAAGCAGAGTTATCTACTGATGTTGTTGCCAGTCAAAATACATGAAATGAAATTATATGTCTGAGATCTGAGCAGGAAATTCAGATTGATTATTTCTAAATTAGCCTGAAAAGCTATTCAAATCAAATCAATGTGATATTTGAAAAGTAAAGAGACTCAGAGGAGAAACAGGGGGGAAATACTTTGGAAGGGAGTATAAATTTAAGACCTAAGCTTATGGTCTCTTGCACAAACATGCTGTATTTTATGGTCGCTGTAATGCCAGCCAATTTTCTGCAAGCTACTCCTCATGATTCCTGGAACATTAGCTGCAAATTGCAAGAATATTTCCAAGAAAGGACAAAGCAGCTTGGTACTCTGTTGGTGTTATGAGCAAAATGAAGAATGTGTTAGTACAGCTCCAGCTACGAGCCAAGCAGCTTATTGTTTTTCAAGTTTTGAATAAAGAAAAAATAAGAGATGTTTGGATAAGTGAACAACAGGGGGTAAAATCCGATAGCTTCCGGAAAAAGACATGAAAACAGAAGAAATCTTTCTTTCTAAATCACAAATGTTGGCTGCTGAAGCCACGACTGTTGGGATTGCATGTCACTTGAAATCCCTTATACGTAACACAATATCCGGAGCAATGTCATGAAAGAATGAATATAACATTTTGCATAATTTCCTTTGAGTTAAACCATTAACAGAATACAAAGAGAGAGAGAGGGACAGCGGTATGGCAGTGATGCACCTTGATGTTGGTTGCCAACTGCCAATAAATCAAACACAGAAGAAGAAGAGGCATCAACCTGGTATTACAGTACGCCCAGGAAGGGTGCATCAACACCGTAGATGGCGGTAATGCACCCTGACGAAGACGAAGAAGAAGAGGCAGCAATTATCAATATTCTTAATATGATGTGAGAAAAATTTAAGGGGTTGTGAGACAATGTAACTACTCTAATCAGTTTCAATTTCTATATGAAAACTGGAAAATTAAATGTTTTATTTCTATTTTTCCATAACTGATAAACGCTGATATTTCAAAGGACACGTTATGAGTCTCATTGTTATAATCTGATAGAATTCCTTCATCTGGTGTGGGGGACAAAAATAGGCCTGTTTGTTATATTCATTAGTAAAATAAGCAACTCTGGGCTTTCTGGAAGAGACATCTAAAAACTACAAGTTTGGCTGACTTTCACGAAGGCTTGGCAAAGTGTTAAGTCATCAATATCTTGTGAGGATATTGAGACAACATGGGAACACGTGCCGTCCTTGTGGCTGCGTGTGTACATGATGCTGGCTCAGGCTGTTGAAAGCCACTGCTGGGAGGTTTAGTGGGAGGAGGAGGGAGTGGAAAGAAGGGAGTGTGCATTGAAGGCCAGTCTGCCGGGGAAGCCCTGGGGGGAGGTGCGGCCTCTACCCAAGGCTACTGTGTGTTCAGGGAGGTGAGAATGTAGAAGAAGAAAACCCTTCCCGTCTCCTCTACTCTCGCTTTAATATCATTTTAGATCTAGACGGGGAATGGGTCATGGGTAAGTGGCAGTGGGAGTCATCTAAGTGGAATGTGTCCTCTCCACCGCATGCTTGGGCAGCGGGAACAGCTCGTTCCCTTGGGCGGACAGTAAGCTAGCAGGACCCATTTCAGGCAGTGGCCATGTCATGGTCTGTGGCATCAAAACCAGCACAAAAAGGGAAATCGCTGGAGGGAAGCATGAGTGGGAAACAGGCTGAGGCACGGAAGGTTGCAGGGTTGGAGGAGAGGGGGAGCGGGTGCTGGAGTAGAGTATGAAAGTGTGATTGAGTCATGGAGAGCTTATCGAAAACGTCATCAGATGGAGGTTCAGGGAGACTTGGACTGGACACCAGGCTGATGGACACTAGGCTGCTCGCAGGGTTCAAACCTGTGACCCTGGTGCCTTCTAACAACAGAGGGCAGATTTCACGGGTGCCAAACACTGTGATCTCCACCGCTGCTCTTTTATCTCTCTGCTCCTGTTCCTTTCTCTTCTAGTCATTTCACTGGGTCCTGAGAGATTGAGCCGACCCGCCTGTAAGTTCACTCAGCTGGAGACTCTACGCTCCCCTCTACTCACTGCTGAGGCTGAATGGCCAGAACACTTTCAGCTTCAGATCACACAAGATTGAGGCCTCAGAGCGAACTAGCATGTTACTAAGGAGCATAATAATAATTCTGCAAGTGATTGCCCATAAAGCAAAGTACTGGACCAGATGATGGTTCTATTCAGGAGGTAAAGAGATGATAAAACCTCACAATCGATCCTGAAGGGGAAATGAACGTCCATCAAATTTTATGGTGGTCCATCAAACAGTTGGTGAGAATGAACCACAAATATCAACTTCATGGAACTACATGAAACATCACGACTTCACACAAGTCATTAGAATTCATCGTCTGGGAAACAGAATCATTGATTTGAGCGTTGTTAAATTAACAATGTCAATAATAATAATAATACTTATAATAAGTTGTTTGCTTGTGCCACAGCTAATGCACGAATAAACCAAACCCTTACAAAGAAATGTATCAAAGTTTACGCCATTTGCAGAGTGACATCGTCGCTAATCTTTAAATTGTATGAGCACTGAGATATTTATAGGCGACAATACACTCGTAAAATAAGATCAGTTGAGCTTAAAATACTTCAATAGAAGGTAAATACCACAAAGAAACGTATCTATTCAAAGAAATATTTAACATCAAATTCACATAATACATTCACATTAGCAGGAGGAATTGGAAAGTGTCTCCTTTGAGATCTACAGCTTCTGTCTGAGGATGAATTTTGAAAGTTACGGTAAATTTGAATAACAGAATTCAACGTCTGAGGAATTTTTTTAATGCAGGGATTTTAATGATGTTCCTGCGTGTCACTTCATATTTCATGGCAGTCGGAGAGCAGGAAATATCTTGAGGGAAATATACAGCATCTAATGGCCGAGCGCAGCCATCACCCAATGAAAAGTTTGAGGTTTAACTTTATCTGTCATCCTTAGGCAGGCACACACACACACACACACACACACACACACACANACACACACACACACACACACACACACACACAGATCTTTTTTATCATATCTTGCTTAACAATTCTCAAAAACACCAATTTTCAAATATTATTTTTCCCGTATTGTACTGTTTAACTTTTCTTATAATGCTATTACACTGAGAGGAGCTTCACAGTGTGAGAGTGACAGTGGGACACACACACAAAAGCAGATGGTGAAGAAAAGAGATACAATACAAAGATGGAGGTCGCATTAGGTGAAAGGGAACTATTGTCAGAAATTTAATGTAGAATAATCCTCATGATGTTTTCACTAGTTCGTTTCATTTAAATTGTATGAATTGTAGTTTTCTTAACACCAGAAAAGGCCCTTTATATTCAAATACTTTATATTTACATCGAGGGGACGTTTTATGACAATCAAAGGCTACCACAGGTTCCTTTTCATGTTTGTAAGGAGAGGGTGAGGTGAGGGGTGTTCAGCTGCAACATGCAATTTCAACACTAGATGCCACTAAATTCTACACACTGTACCTTTAAAAGTCAGACAATAAGTTCACCAGATAATTAAACAATTCTCAGTGCAGACAAACATTGGAGAAGACGATAAAGAAAAGTAATGGCCCTGAAATGCATTTGGGGCGTTCTGAAGTCATCTTTCCGTCTTCCTGTCATGCAGACGATATTCTCCCAGGTCTGATGCTGGCACACGTCCACAGTAATATCATTAGTGAAGTCGAGCGAGTCATTCAAAGCCGACTCAAACGCTTCAAATGGTTAATTTATTTGGGAGTCATTCTCCTTCTCTGAACAATTATACTAAATCAACCACCCCATGAAGAACATCAGAGTCACTTACAGTTCAGGGACCTGATTTCACCACGTTTCACAGAGTAAACAGACTAATAATGTGCATATTTGTGTGAATAGGTGTGTGTGTGTGTGTATGTGTGTGTTTTCCAGGTTTATCATCCAACACAACCCTGACAGAATGTATTATATTTAATATTCTGTGAGCTGTATTCACTAGAAAATGCTGCTCTTGACAAGTATTTCATTTTAGTTTTGGTTCTTCAAACTTTACCACCTTTATGAAAATATCAGTTAGCTCCAGTTTCCACTCTTACCTGTTGTAAATGTCATCGTCCTCCCCTCCCCAGCCCCAGTACTCGTTGGGGAAGCCGTTGATCTTCAGAAACTGTTTTTTACTGAGGCCTGAAACTCCTCCAAAGTAGCCTGCGTAGGGCAGCCTGCAGGAGGGGAGGAAGGAGGGATGGGATGGATGAGGGACGGAGGGTGAGAGGGGAGATGAGTTATAAGGGAGCAGATGAGGACAGATTATAATAAATATTTTTTAATTATAACTGATTAAAGAAACAGCAGTTTTCTTTTCTCAATTAATGTTACCTTTGATCGCAATTGATTAAATACCATGAGCGTTTCTGTTTTGGGTTTTTTTTGGTACATTATCCCTATACCTACGACAAGCTACCTGACTGTTAAAACTGTTTCCATTCCTCCTGAGGTCTCAATATACACATTAGCCTGTGTCATACAATTCAGAGAAGACAGACACACACCAGCTTTTCCTCCATTGTGCATTATGTAGCTGGAAGCTTGGTTTCTATTGGACACAGCACAGACCATCGAAAGTAATGGTTTGAGGGCACAGCAGTGCCTTTGTCACGTTTTATTTAAAAGGGCTTTAAAGTGAAAAAACAAACTAGAAAACCTCTTGAAATTTCTGTTTCCAGGTCGTGTTGCCAAGAAAAACATTAGTCTCAACACATCAAATGATGTCATCATAACTTCATCAATAAATAAAACTGTTAAACTTTAATGAGTCTTTAATGACTCACGTTTAAATCAATTTAAGTACATAAGTGCCCCTTAATGAATAAGTTGAGAAAACAAATCAAGCGAGAGTTTTGAGAGGAGAATTAACTGATAATAAGAGAACATGAAAACATAAGAACAGAAATACAGAAAGGAAGGAAAACTAAAATTAATATGAGGGAAGAGAGATGGTGATAAAGAATACTAAACTCATGGGGGAGGGTCAGTGTCCTCTTAGTGAAAGTATCAACCATATTAAGTACATTATAATATGTATGTATAATTTGTATTCTTCCCTCAACAGTCGTGAGACTAGTGGAGCCGGATGGACGTCAGCTGGGACATCTAGTGTGCCGCCTGGAGACAAACCTGAGGGGGGTTTATGGATGTGTGTGTGTGTTGTGTACAATATGTGTTGTCAATGTATGGCAGCTTCCTGACAGGAAGAAATTAATGAGACCGTATGTTTCTGCACAACTTTTTCTTGCAACAATATGGTGAGGTGTTTGTTTATGTATATGAATGTGTGTGTGTGTGTGTGTGTGTGTGTGTGTGTGTGTGTGGACAAATTGAAAAAGAAAGGGCTGTTTGAGAAAGAAGAAAGAAGCAGAAGAAGAGGAAGAGTCTGCTGCAGGGGGGTGACGCACATTCAACGGTATTGACTGATGTAAACAACCATCGATTTATGTGACTAATTCCTCCATAGTTTATGTTTTAACGTCACTCACACATATACATTAAGCTGAGTCCCAAGATAATCTAACATCTGTTCAAAATGATTTTAACAACATGATAATATAATATAATCTTATACATTGCATGAGGTCCTGTGATCGACTATTGTGTTTTGAAGGAGCTGTGATCATGTGACCTGAGTTTCGCCGCCAATTTTAAACATTCATTCTCATTTAGAAGCAGCCAGAGTTTTGTTCCTGAAAAGTTTACGGCTGCATGGAGCCTCCACTGAATATTTCAACAGCTCTTTTTTTCCTTCAGGCATAGTTGCCGACTTTTTCCTTTAGTCTGGGAGTTTTCTAAAAAACCGGGAAGGTCGAACCAAAAACAGGCTGCTTCAGACGACTCTAACCTTGGGAACCAATTCTCTATAATGATCTGATTTTTACATCAGCAATTAACCACAGTCAATGTTGTGACCTTCCACGTCATGTTCTCAGTCTTTACTGCTTAATCGCAAATAAGAACTACAACGTCGCTAAACACCTGGTTCTGTATTTGTTGCCAGATAGCATTAGCTTATTGAGCACTTTATCAGCGTGCCGCTGTGACCCTGCGAGGGTTTTCAGTGGCATAACTCTTAAAGAGTGACAGCTCTCAGACAGGCGGGTCACATTCAATGGCCATGTTTGGGCCGTAAATCAATGCTTCCAGTGCTTTTAGAAAATTGAGGGCAGGTGTGGCGCTACAAACTTCAACAGGGGGAATAGTAAACTGCAACATGCATTAAAGGTCATCATATACTGGAGATGAAGCTTTGTGATGTGCAGGGCCTGAAAAGCTGTCTATGCCTTCAGAGGTTTTGCAGCACTGAATCAAAGTAATATATATATATATATAATACATAATATAAAATATATTCTAATTGTTTCTGAGGGCTAAAAAAAAAAAAGTTAAAAAGAAATGTTTGACTGTGCTATTGTATACAATATATCTTTTATATTTGATTATTCTATGTATTCTTTTCCAAATTGATTATTTTAAAAGTTACCAGTCTGATGTTGGATGCTTTATTTAATATCAAATATTGTTTGGATAATTGGTTATTTTCATGTTGAGAGACAAATCAATTAATAGACTCAATTTATGGTATATTTTACATTTTTAATGTTTTTAATTTTTCTCATTGATGAATTTAATAACAAAATATGCACATTGACAACTAAGCCATGACATTTTGTGTTGCTCCAACCTGCTACATGCACACTTCACTTCAAGGTTAATAAGGGTCTTTGCACAGCTGTAGTCCGAACTTGTTAGTTACGCTTTGTGTCATCTGCTCTTGTTACGACTACAGAAATATGATCAAATCAAGATTGGCAGCACTGGATTGTGATGCATTTTCATGCTAATTTATGCCGCAGACAAGAATTTCAAAGTATAAAAAGATTTATTCAAATTAAATAATGCTCTGTCAACTGCCTGTCACAACAAAGACTGCAGGCCATTTCTTAAATGTTTAGTTGGGAAGCCAGTTGCATATCTAAATTTTACACATTTACATTTTACAAACTAAGTGTGGCAAAGTGTGAAAAGGATCTACAGTAATGATTTGAACAGGCAGGGAGGTAAGGAGCCAATCAGACAAAAACATCCTTTAAGCTTTCGAGGTAAAATTATTCCTTTAGGTGTCGTCGCTGTGTGTTTTTATTTGTTCTGCCAAGTGGGATTACTAAAACATCAAAATCAATTTGAATTGGAACTGATTTTTTAATAATGGCCAGAGCTCTGACTGTGTCATCCCACTCACTCAACTGAAACAACTGAACGGTGGATATTTCCCATAATCCCCAGGTTCCTGAACCAGAAGAGCTGCTGCTGTAACAAATCCACCAAACTCTGTTTAGAATGCTTCATACTTTTAAAGTTTCCAGGATATATCCTAAATATTGGAGACAAATGCTCACCAAAGTTACACAAAGCAAGAACAGACGTTCAGGGTGAGAAGTGGAAATGTAAGCAGCACTATTCTCCCTATTCCAAGTCAGTGTATTATTAAAATCTATTTGAAGCTGCTGTTTTGAGGTCGAATAAGTTGAATAATGTTGCTTTAAGATGGTGTGGGCCATGCTTCATCCTCCAAACTTAATAAGGAGCAAACCAAGTCGAACGCTGTCACCTCACCTGAAGCCAAACTTGTCCATGGCGATGGCAAAGTGTCTCGGCTGGTCGTAGCAGTGGTAGAGGTTACGGTCGTCCATCGGGATTAGGTCCACGTCGCTAAAGATGAAGCAGTCGTACTCTCCGTCCTTCAGAGCCTCCGTGTAGCCGACATTCAACAGTTTGGCACGGTTGAAAGTTTCCTCACCCAACTGCAGGTAGAAACACAAGAAAGACATAATAGATCCATCGATGAATGTCATCTTCTAGACATTGAATGCTGTTGCTGTTTTCAGTTTTACCAAATTTTAATCACTTCATCATTGCATCTAACTGAATGTTTGCACCAAATTTGAAGAAATTCACATGTGGCGTTCTTGAAGTATTGTGTTAACAAGAATGGGATATAAGAACGGACAACCCCTAAACATTAGGTCGATGGCTATCGCTGGTATAGAGGCATAAAAATGTAGTAGTTTGTACTAAATGTAGTGTGTGTTTATCTCTGCATGCAGTATGAGCTGTGTATTGACCTGCAGAGGTCTGACCGCAGCAGTGAGTTGCTGCTATTTTTCAGCCTCTGCATGGCCCAGGTTTAACAGTTAACAGCTAAAGATATATGGATTCTTCCCAGACAGCACAGCAGGGCAAGAGAGTTGAGGTTAATATGAGTGACGGTTAGAAATTCAACATTGTATAATGTACTGCATATCTGTTTTTGCAGGGTCCTTGTGCAACAGCTCGGCAAAATCAGAGTCCTCGTCAAGCTGCAGAGACGTCAGCGAGCACAAAGCGGAGCTACAGTGGAACCTGACACTCTTTGGCAGGCACTTTTCTGTCGCATGATCACAGTTGATTCTCCCTGAATATTTTCTGAATTCATTCCAACTTTCATGACACTGATGAAGCCCAAGTGGTGGATAGAGAGACAGTGATATGGTGTCCGGTGCAGAGAACCTTTGTGCTCTCAGCGCCTGGTACTAACAGACAGTCATAAAGACGTGTCTCCTCAGGGAATGATTTCATTCACTAATGGTACAACTACTCCATTTGTTCAGGTACAAATAGCCTCAAGTCCCAGAGAGAGTTTAATCATCATAGTAACAGCTAATGTCTCAGCTGAAGCCCGACGGTTGGGTCTCTGAGTTCCTCTCTCCACTGTGTGAAAACGTTGGACAAGAACAAATTACTTTACTTCGGTCCTTTTAGTTTTCCAGTTGTGTCTGATTCAAAGCCAAAATATTTCAAATATCTCTCTTGCATTTTGCTGATATTGATGTGTGACCCACACTCACACATACACAACACCTACATGAAATATTTCGTCAGTTGATGGTTACTGACCTGACGGTGGCCAACTGAGTATTTTCATAATCATTCAATGACGTGAGTCAATTTTTTAAAGATGTGTAGCTCTTAGCATGTTAAAATAATAAATATATCAATTTAAAATGACATTTATTTGTATCATCTTTCACATATAAGATTACAATTTAAAGAATCAAGCAACAAAGAGAAAACAAAACACAACCTTCAGCTGATAACTTAATTAACTACTTCAGAACATTTGGAATATTCAAATTGACAACAGAACAACTATCAATTAATATTTAAAGCAGACCAACATAACAGAAATTAAAACATTGTCTAAAAATACAATTATAAATATTACTAAATTGCTATTTATCTTTGGGGGTTCGATTAGTGGTTGGCTGTGACGCAATAATACGAACTTAATTTGTTCATTTTAACAGTACTGCTGCTGATATACAATATCACAATTGTATTGGGTTAGCTGCAAAGAGTCTGACTATTTACTCTGGGTAATGAGCTTTCTGAATTATCATGACTATTATAGTTTCATGCAAATCTGACTTGTGTGGCACAGTTAAGTCCTAACGGCACAGTGTGTAAGATGTGAGGGGCCCCACATGACAAGATTACACGTTTATGTTAATGAGACTGGGTCCCAGTGCGGAGCTTCATTTCTCACATCATAAAAAAAGGACTTCCCAGTTGGAAGAATACATCAGTATCTACAGAATCCGGGAAGAACAGCGAACCACTGTTACAAATTTGCCGCAGCCACATATTCCTATAGCCATTAGAGAAAACCACTCACTCTTGACAGAATAAGAGAATCTCCAAGATAATTAATGCATCTGTCCTCGTTCTTCTGTTCAGCACAGTTCCTTTTCTTTCCATTTATTTATTAATTTTTTCCATTCACACTTGCTTTCATACTGGTGCATTATCAGTTCAGACTGACCGTGAATCAAGTACAATGTGTAATCCCTCTGGTAAACCCGCTAATACCTGAGATTTCAGAGCATAATCCCCTGTGCAGGTAACAAAGAAATCTATTGTCACAAATCCACCAGGCCTCCAAACATCAGCTTCTGCCCTTTATTAAAATAACAGTGGGTTCAGTAGGTTTGAGCAACATCATGTGGGGTTAGGAGAGCAAAATACCACTGACGTCGGCCAAATCTTCAAAAACATTTTAGATTAAACTACAATATTCTGTCATGAGATATTAGCTAGATATTTTTCAACACATAATAGTAGAGATTTTAAATATTTAAACTCTAATGCAATCTAATGTTGAAATGATTGTCCAGAACATTAGAATCTGAGGGGTTTTTAATTTTTCCTCCAACGTATTCACAAACACCGGTGCACCTCCTTATTCATGCACTTATCTATTGAACCAGTCATGTGGCAGCGGAGCAAAGCATGACATTAGAGTGGGGAAAAAACATGTGATCTCAGTGAGTGAGACCATGGCATGATCGTTGGTGACAACATGTTTTCAGAATAGTGACAAAAAAACAACATCACACATCCTGTGAGTGACAGTTCTGAGGATGGAAATGTCTCATTGATGAGAGACGGGTCGAAGCTCGACAAAGAGACCAGGGCAACTCATAGAGCAACACGTCTCCATCTCGTGTGCAGAAAATAATCTCAGAACGCACAACTCGTCAAACTTTGGGGCAGATGGGAAGCAACAGATGACCACAACGAGTTTCGCCGCAGTGGGCAAAATCGTAGCCTGTTCGGATGAATGTGGATTTGTGCTGAGGCTGCAGATGGTTGGGTCAGAATCTGGCATCAACAGCATGAATCCATGGACCAGAGCCGGGTGTCAACAGTCCAGGCTGCTGCTGCTGCTGCTGGCGGTGTAATGATGTGGGGAACGATTTCTCTGGCACACTTTGGAACACTTAATACCAATCAATCGTAGTTTGAATGCCGCGGCTTATCTGAGTATTGCTGCTGCCCATGTGTGTCCCTTTATGGCCACAATTTACTGTCTTCTAATGGCCCCTACCAGCGTTATAATGAACACAAAGCACAAGTCATCTCAAACTGGTTTTAGGGAACATGACAGCGATTCCAGTGAACTTCCGAGGCCTTCACGGTCCCCTGATCTGAATCTAGAAGTACAACACTAACGGGATGTGACAGAGCGAGACGTGGTAGCGCGAATGTGCAGCTAAAGCAGAAATGTCAAAATACTGGGTTGCAATCAGTGTGTTAGTAAGCTAATAAAGTGCTCAGTGTATGACAATGAAGAAAAATAAAATGACAACTACAAGATAAGTAAAAAACATCTAGGAGTATTAATACATCTTTAAGATCATCATGCACTCATAAATCTCATGCTCCTTTCTTCTGCCACCTGTTCCTCTGTGCATCTGCTGTCCATCTTCTCATCAATTCAACCAGCGCCTGCTGTATTTAAACCCTCATCCTTCTCTCCACACTTCATCAGATCATACACACACTACGATCAGCTCAGTATCTTCTTCATGATTCGTGCCGCTCTGTCTACTTCTTTGTTTGCCGTGTGCTTCAGGTCCGTCGTCCCTGGTTTGATCGGTACCTCACCTCTCTGCTATAGTCTCCTGAAGTATCGGACCACCGCCTGCTTCACTCCATTGTCCGCCCCGGCTCAGTCTCCTGTATTTTGCAATTGCCGCGCTCCACTGATTTAAGATGTGCATCACAAACAACCCTGCCTTTGTTTGAACTTTTAAATACGAGTCTCAGTTCTGCTCCTGTTAGATGGGTTACACTATATTGAATAAGTCTATGTAGCTTCATTACATTCATCACTTAGACTCTGGTGGCCCGCCTCCGTCTAATTTGTCCCGCCACAGTTTCATAATCATCCGAGAATGTATTGACACTTCTCGTTATAACATAAAAGATTTTTAATCTTATTTGCACCAGCACTCGTTGCCCTGCTGTTGCTCTCTTTCTCTCGCTCTCACTCTATCGCCATCTCTCTCACAAACACCTCATCAACCCTTATCGGCCTGACCCCGCCTCCCGGTGCCAACTAGTGCCACAGATAGAATCTAACTCAATGCTGCACCTTATAATTGAATCGTATATATCTGCAAATCGCCCGTCTTTGAAAGGATCTAACACCAT